AACTTCGAAAAAAATTGGCGTAGTCGGATAGGATAGAAATACATATCAATCGACTTAGTTTTTAATCCTAATGCCGAATATGGTACTTTTATTGTTCAAAAGTTAAGTTTTGATTGAGAAAATTAAGAATTACGGACAGAAAAATGATTTTTGTCAGCAACGAAATAAAATTTGAAAAAAAGCTCTACATATTTTAAACCTGGCCAATCTAATGATGTGTGAATCAAATGTCTAGCCCGCCACACAAACAACTAGTAGGGTTTTTGAACGAGGGGTCTTGGTTCTTGACTCATATACGTTCCGAGTCTTGCCAAAATTTCACTATGTGATTTGGAGACTTGGGAGTACCTTGGCTAGACGCAGTTTTGAATAAGGAATCCAATTATAGTAAGCTCAAGTCTCCATGATACTTCAGAAAAAAACCACAAGCCTTTTTTCTTAAAACGCAAAATTTTCGTATTTTTGAGACGTTCCCAGTATTTTGAATTTTCTTATGAATGAAAGCGTTTTTTCAGAATGGGAAGGTGATATTCGTGGTCAGCAAGCTCTGACAAATCCGAATATGTATAATAAACTCAAAAAAGAATTTCGCTCGAAGTTTGCTTTAAGTGCATCTTAAATTTTTATATATCTTCTGTGAATAACAGATTTAGTTCTTGTTTAGTTCTGACTGATTATCCTCCAGGCTATGTTTATTCAATTAATGATTTGAACATCTATGATGTTGGCTCAAATTATTCTTCATCGACGGCTATCGTTGTTGTATATGATATTCGAGGTTTTAACATATCTCAAACAAGAGTATTTTGTGATAGATTATCGTTCGAGTATAAAGCAAGAGTGGTGATGCCTGACTTTTTTAGAGGTAATGAATTTAGACGAAATTCAGCTCGATTTTCAGCTTCATTGATTAATATTTTAGGCACTGCTGCTCCGGCAAATATGAGTGAATTAGGCGCATGGTTGGCACAAGCGGGTAACTGGTCTCAGGTTGAAAAAGATTTGATAATGGTAAATGAGCAGTTAAAGAAAGATCGAGCTAAACAACTGGCTATTCTTGGATTTTGCTGGGGAGGATTGCAAGTATTGCGAGCATGTGGCCAGTTAGCGGACTATTATTCGACCGGGATTAGTATACACGGAGCGTCGTTGACGGTAACAGATGCACAAAATCTTCAACGTCCAATGATGTTCTTGGCAGCAGGAAATGATCCACCTTTAACGAATATCACGGCTACTCTAAACCAGAAATCATTTGGTAATCTATGTGAATATAAAGTTTATCCAAATATGATACATGGTTTTGCGTCAGCTGGTGCTAATTTCAGTAATCCAGAGAATGTAGCAGCTTTGGATGATGTTCACGATAGATGCAACAAATTTCTTACCAAAATATTAACAAATAGTGGAATGATAGTTGCATCAACAGTCAAATTAGTACTTCTTACATTTTACATTTTAGTAAACAACATTTATTATATTTAAAGAAAAATTAACTAAAAAAAACATAAAACTAAATGTATTCATATTTATGCAGCTAATTTATTTTGAAATTTATTTTTTTACTAAAACAGAGCTTTCGAATCGACAGATTCATCTTCAGTAAAGAAATACTTGTACAAATATGAAGAAAACTCGCTTACAGATATATATATATATGATCAGACTGGAAAGGTCATGATGGACTTCAGTCTACCGATGTATGAAAGGGAGAGTGACTGAACAATAACATGAAAATAAAAAAGAGAAAACGGAGAAAGAAAGGTGAGAGATATATAAGATTTTAGCATTTTACTTTTTACCATTTATTTCTTTTATTTTTTACCATGGTACTTTACCATTTTACTTTTTCTGTTTGATATTGCATTACTCATTCATGGTGTCTTCTGGAAACATAAAAAGGGGTATTGAGCGATCAATGCCGCTAAGTTGAAGAAACTTCTCACGTATACCCAAAGGACTTTCGAACTAATAGACGATAATTTCGTGTATTTTCAACTAGAAGTTTGGTGCTGTGAAAGTTTATAGAATGACTTGTTCTAAGAACATGTTTAACCAACCGGCTTGTCCAGCTAACGGTATCCTTTTTTCGCTCTTTTTCAAAAGTTTATTGCAGTAAAGCTACAAATTAATCTAAAATTGCAACTGCATAATTAACTACATTAAACATTTCTCTACAAAATGAAAAGTGTCTTGGCTCTGAACGTTGATTAGTTATGAAAATACAGCTGTCGTACAAACAGCC